ACCTTTATTTAGTTGTATGAACTTTGAATAACAGAGTTTTAATTTTAATTTTCTTCCAGGCAATGTTTATCATCTTCAGTGGATTAAAACAAACATTAAAATTAAAATTTATTATTCAAAATTCATACAACGAAATAAAGCTAAGAGAAATTTAAGTACAACTTCCCAACAATGTTTTCTGTTAAGTCTCTAGCATTTATTCTGAACTTGTTAAAGCTTCAAACTGCTAAGACTTTTTGGCACACTCTGTAACATGTATAAATAATAACTGAAATGAAAGTTTAACAAAACAGTTCTTACCCATATTATATGTGATACACTCCGATATTTTCTTTTACATTCTATTCTAGTTTTTATAGAATTTTTTCATTCCAATTTGCAACATTCTAAATTTATTCTACACTACTATAATGGGTTGTAATCAGTGATTTGATAGACATAGAGCTGGGTGAAGCCTCAGTTCCTTACAACAATGAGAAAAGGTAAATTTGTGTTCTGGAGGGTGGGGCCGGGGAAGCAAATCCCATGTTCAATCTAGAAAGGCTTCTCAAAAAAAGAGGCTATCTGGTGTCACATCAGTATTGAAACCAAGATGGTCTGATGAGTTGCAGGCCTAAGGGTGGCTAGAGGAAAAGGATTTGGGAACTAATGCTCAGCAGCAGGAGAGGAGTGAGTGGATGAGGGTTGTGGGCACACTTGCCAGCGACCCTGCAGGCCAGGCTGTGGAAAGGTGAGAGAGATACACAGGACACTGGGGGCAGATTCTGTGAAGCCCAGCACTTGACAGAGTATTACAGGAAGGGCTATTCCTTCTCCAAGGCTGGAGAGGGATGACCTCTCAGACCTTACTAACCACACTTCCAGGAATAGTCTCCTACACAGAGAGCAAAAATCCTTAATCCCAAAGTGCTGTGGCTTCCATTGGATTATGTGTCTCTTCTAAGGAACTCTTTCCTGTTGCCCACATGCTGAGTAAACAAACTAGAGAGTGTCTCTTACCGCCAAGGCTAATCACAGGTATCTGGTTTCATTTCAGGATGTGGTTAGTACCTTAAGGAACTGCAGGTTTCAGAGAGACAGCCAGGTTGGATGGAGAGGGCAGATGCCTGGGAAAAGCTCAATTTAACCCTAGATCTCTTTCTCCAGGGGAAATAAAAGAAGCAAAGACAAACCCCACTGCAAGGGATCACAGGGCAGTGCCAGGATGAAGGAGCTGGAGTCATCTGGGTGATTTTGAGTGAATCAGTCAGGAAGGCCTTCCTGGAGGACATGAGTCTTGAGCACTGGCAACAGCTAGCAACTACAGTGTTACCAGGCTTTTGTTTCTTTTTTTTTTTTTTCCTTTTTGTCTTTTTTTTACTGACTGGTAACGGGATCACAACCCTCGGTGTCGCGCCTGTACCGGGGACCGGCAACGGGATCGCAACCCTCAGTGTTGCGCCCGCACCGCGCTCAGCCAGTGAGCGGGAACCGGTCTCCACATGGGATCTGAACCCTCGGCAGGAGCGCCGCCGCACTCCTAAGTGGCGCACTCTCCAGTGCGCCACTGGGCCGGCCCAAGGCTTTTGTTTCTAACTGTGCTCCCTCCTTCTTGCTGGAGTGGGAAGGTAGACAGAAAGCAGCAGGGAGGATGCAGCCTGCAGGATCGTTCACCACTGTCATGCAAACTCTCCCCATTCTGCAGGCTCACTGTCTGGGCTTAGCTGGGACAGTTCCAGAATTGATGTTGCATCTAGCTCAAGCAGAACCCTCTGTGCTGGCACCAGCATAGCTTAACCCCTCAGACAAGAAACTGCTTCTACACTGAATCCCCATTTCCTCCTTGATGTCTTCTTTAAGCCCACAGGGAACTCTACCTTTCTCAGCTTGGCACTTACTGTCTGCACTGTTATTATGTTTTAATTTTATTGCTTTATGAGTAGGTAATGTAGTCAGAATTTAAAATAAGAATGGTATTCAGTAAAAGGTCTTTTTTCCTGCTCCTATCTCCTCCTTAGACAGGCGTCACCTGGACCCAGTGCTACCAGTGGTTGTTCTCCAATAAGATTTTAAGATCTCTTGGAGGAAGAAATGGAGTTTCATGCCCCTTTGTGTTTTAGATGTGTTTCAGATGGGGTGAACTGTCCCATCACCCAAGGGAACTTTCCTAGCACCACCTCTTTCCTCCTCCATCCGCACTACTGCTATCTTGGGTCAGACCCCCTGGACCCTCTTAACTGGCTATCCAACTGCCAATCAGGACCATCTCCTAGACACACTCCATCAGCTGTCATATTCCTTTAATGCTGGGCTCCAGACTTATCCTTTACTGTTCCCCATGCCTCCAATCAAGGGCAAACTCCTCCATATGATGAACAAGGCCCTCATGACTTAGCTTCACCAGCCTCTGCAGGCCCATCAGACTCCATACTTCCACCATACCAGACTCTTTGCAGCTCTCTGATTGTCCGTGCTACTCCCACCTCTAAGCCTTTGCATATGCCATTCCCTCTGCCTGAAATGTGCTACCTCGCCCAGGTGACTCCTACTTGCAAGTTGGTGCTCAGCCCATGCTTCTCCCCCTGTAGGACTTTTTCACAGACAATCGCCCTCCCACATTTGCTATTTCCTGCACCCCCTCCCCTTCAGCACCCAAGGGTACCTCTCTCCTGCTGCCTTCTCACTGGATAATCTCTGTTTAAAATCTGACTCCTCCAATTGACTGTATGCTCCTTGAGGGCTGGGCTTGCTCATCTCTGTATCCCTCACATCTTACAGAATACCTGGCATAGTAGATGTTCAGTAAATAAACAGATATTGGCAGAATGAACAAATCTTCTCTCCCATGCCCTAGACAATATTTAATACAAAATAGCACACAGAGAGAATGCCATGTGAATGTCAAGGCAAGTTTGGGGTGATCCATCCATAAGCTAAGGAACACCAAAAATTGCCAGCAGCCACCAAAAGCTAGGAGAGAGGCCTGGAACAGATTCTTCCTCACGGGCTCTAGAAAGAACCAACCCTGCCAACACTTTGATCTCAAGACTTCTAGACCTCAGAACTGTGAGGCAATACATTTCTGTTGTTTAAGCCACCCAGTTGTGGTACTTTGTAATGGCAGCCTAAGAAAACTCATACATTGCTTCATTCTCTTGTTATGGCTGAATAATATTCCATTGTATGGATGAACTACATTTTATCTATTCATCCATCGATGAATGTTTGGACATTGTACTTTTTGGCTATTGTGAAATGTCACTATAAACACTCATATGCAAAAAAATTAAAAAAAACTTAATATAAAATAGATGCACAAAGAGATTTCCTTTATTTGATTTTTGATGATGATGATGATATCTGATGTTTTGAAAGAAACCACCTGTCTCCCCCAGTGCAGTGTGAACCCTTTCATTGAGATTGTGATGACCACGTATTCCCCAGATCCACGTGACTCCAGACACCAGGCTTTTCCACAGGCAGGAGCTTGCGGGTTTAAATAACAGCATTAAATAGTTCAACTGGAGTTACTTTTAAGCAAAACATGCAAGGGGTAAAGAGCATGGCTTTGGCCAAGGGCCAGGTGCTTGAGGATAATTGCTGGGAAGCTGAGCAGGGATTTATCAATTATAATAATAAAAATAATTGATGTAATTTATTGAGGGCTTAGTATATGACACATACTCTGCTTAGTATTTTACAAACATTTAATCCTCACCACAACCCTGTGAATTAGGTATTAGTTATCCCTACATTATAGATGAGGAAATTGAGTCTTAGAGGGATTAAGTATATCACCCAAGGGTCACACAGCTACTTATGATAAAAAACTAACACTTTCTGAGTACTTACCTTGTGCAGAGACTGCTCAGCTTTTTCCATGAATTGTTTTTTTGAACTTGATCCTTATAACAACCCTAGGAGGTAGGTGCCATCACTAGAAGGGCAGAACTGGCATTTGTGCCCCAGTCTCTTGCCACCAACATCTAGTGCTTAACCAGTGTGCCTCATAGTTCTAGAGCTGTCCACAGAAAGTTTTGCAAACATTCATCCTCTGAGCTGTAGGACCACGTGCCTGGGGGTGAAGGCTGGTGAATGCCCATGCCTGGCCCTGCCTGGAAGGTGTTGTCATTGAATCTTAGATTTTTAAAAAATTCCTTTTTGTTAAATATTAGTAGATACAGAAGAATATTTATAAGATCCGCTTCAAGGAAAAACACTTTACTTTGACGTCCCCTATTACCCATCTCTGATCCTGTACCTTTTCCTCCTTCTTCAGAAAATTTGGTTTATCATTCCTGTAGTTTTCTTTATAGATTTACCATATATTTGTATTCATAAACAATATAGTTTCAGCATGTTTTAAAATGTTCTGTAAATAGAATCATACTGTTTGTATATTTCTGCAACTTGCTTTTTTCGCCCACCATTACACCCATGTTGTTGCATGGAGAAGTGGTCCACCCTTTGTCATGGCTGTAGAGAACTCCAGGGTATGGAGATTTCACACTTTATTCATTCTACTGCTGAGGGATTTGTAGGTTGTTCCCAGTTTTTGCCATCTTAGTCTGTGCTGCTATAAACATTCTTGTACATGCCTCCTGGTTCACATGTACCAGAGTTTATCTGGGATATAAAACTACGAGAGGAATTGTTGGCTTACAGGGTGTGTTCATTTTTAATTTTACTTGATAATGCCAAGTTGTTTCCCAAAGTGGTTATGTCAATTAAATCTCTTCATGCAGTGTTTCAGTGTTCCAGTTACTCTAGATCCATGAATGTTAGAATTTTATGGCAGGAAAGAAACACTGAGTCCATTCTCCTCATTTTATGGATAAAGGAAATTTAGGCTTGGGAAAGTTGTGACTGTATTAAGGTGATGTCACCATTCAGTCACAGAGTGTGGACTCCAAGCCCCAGATGCCCTGACTCCCTCCCACCCCTGTCTTGGCTCATTTCTCTCTCTCATCCCCTCCCTTGTCAGGCTGAGGCCCAACGTGTGGCCCCCACAACGTATTGAGCCGTTTCCAGGGTCAGGCCCAGGACTCGTACCTGACCCAGCTGGGGTCCCCATCGGTTCTGGAGGATGAGGTTCCTACGCAGACGCCACATGCCCCTGCGCCTGGCCATGGTGGGCAGCGCGTTTGTGCTCTTCCTCTTCATCCTGCAGAGGGATGTAAGCAGCTGGGAGCAGGCCACAGAGAAGCCATGGCTGAAGTCCCTTGTGAGCCAGAAAGATCACGTCCTGGACCTTATGATGGAGGCTGTGAACAACCTCAGAGATTCAGTGCCCAAGCTCCAGATCAGGGCTCCAGAACCGCAGCAGACTGTGGTCTCCACAAACCAGTCCTGCCTCCCTGGATTCTATACCCTAGCTGAACTGAAGCCCTTCTGGGAACGGCCACCACAGGACCCTAACAGCCCCGGGGCAGATGGGAAAGCATTTCAGAAGAGCACATGGAGCCCTCTGGAGACCCAAGAAAAGGAAGAGGGCTATAAGAAACACTGCTTCAATGCCTTTGCCAGTGACCGGATCTCCCTGCAGAGGGCCCTGGGGCCAGACACCCGACCCCCTGAGTGAGTAGCACCCAGAGTGCTATAAGAGGGCAGGCCTCAAGTGCCAGGAGGAGAGTTGAAGGGGATTTTAGAATATGGGCAGGGATTTCCTCTTAGTCCTCACTTCTTTCCCTGACTAATTACCCTGATCCCGGGGGTTGGAGTTCAGGGGTATTATGGTCAGGCCAGAGGCCCAGGGAAACGTGTGAGAGTAAGTCACAATTATGAAGGTGACAGGATATGAAGGAGTTATGAAGGAGCTCAGGCCCTGGCACAGGGGCAACTCAGAGGGGAAACTGATAGCAGGCTGTGGTTTCAGTGGGCTTGTCCTCTGCTGAGGTCTTCCCCAGAGACTGGGACTCTGGTGCTGAGCTATTGGGAGAGGGAACATTTCCTGATAGCAGTGCTGGTGGTCAAGAATATCCCCATCCATCCTGGTTTCCTCCAGTAAAGGTCACAAGGCCATGAATTGATTCCAACCTTTATTTGAAGCTGTTTATAGTCTCAATTTAGGGCAATGGGACCATCACTTGGTTCTTTTGGGCTGTGAGCCAGGGATTCCTCACACTTGGACCAAGTATTATAGCCCCAGAACAAGGAGTCACCTGGAGTTATCAGGAGCTCCTCAGCAGAGAGGAGTGTTGGGCATGACAGCAGTGAGTGGAGGAAGTTGGGGAATCTCTGAAGGGTCCATGAGAAACCTCTCTGACCAGCAGAGGGGGTCAAGAAAGGGTGTTAGGTCACGTGATTCCTTGGGATCCAGGATTCACACATTCCCACACACACCCAGAGATGAGGTGTCACGAAGGGGGCAGCAAGACCAAGTGCCACGGAATGGTTAGAGCGGGTGAGGATAGAGAAGAGGTCACAGGAAACTGCGTTAGTAGTGTCAGATTACAGGGAGTTAGTGGGCAGATGGATTAGAGGAACCGTAAATTGTAAAAGGAAGAGCCTTTTTGTTCTCATTGAATATGGAAATTGTAGTCACTTTTCTCAGATGTCAAATTTGCCCTTTATTACCTACCCCTCTGGGACCTCTAGATGGGATTACACTTTACGCAGTACGTTACAGAGGAAGAGAGTCAGCCCTGGGAACTCCTAGCCTGATAGCAGAGAGCAGATGAGCGAGCGGGGAAGAGCCTCAGCATCACAGCCAGGGGCACCGAGCCAGCTCTGGGGGGGTGGGTTTTGGAGTGGGTTGGTTAGGACCTGTGCAGAGGCTCAGAGTGGGTGGCGGGGAGACAGGGACAGGGAGCAGCTCTTCCCTGCTATGACAAAAATATAGGCTGGTGGTTCAGAGGAGTGGAGGGTGGTTTGGGGGACCTTTGCACAGGGACCTGGAGAGCTGTGCTCACACTTTCATCCTTCCAGGTGTGTCAACCAGAAGTTCCGGCGCTGCCCCCCACTGCCCACCACCAGCGTCATCATTGTGTTTCACAATGAGGCCTGGTCCACGCTGCTGCGAACAGTGTACAGTGTCCTCCACACCACCCCTGCCATCGTGCTGAGGGAGATCATACTGGTGGATGATGCCAGCACTGACGGTGAGGCTAGAGGGGCCCTGATGAGGGGGCTGGGATCTCCCATGGGCACTCTGAGCAGGTGGGCAGGTTCTCACAAGGGAGGAGGCACTACCTCACGGCCTGGGGCCTGGCATTGTAACTCATCAAAAAGGGCAAGAGCAGGAAGAAGGCTGGTGGGGGACAGGGGGCAGGCAGACCACATTCTTAGAGCCTGGACTTCCTTCACACTTCAGCAAAAGAGCTCTGAGAGCCCGATTGCAGCTTTGGTCTCTAAGACTCCCTTAGAGCTGCCAAGCCCAACCCTAACTCAGAAATGTTGGGAGGGGTCAGGGCAGAGGGTAGGGACAGGTCTTCCCCTCTGTTTCTTACCTGCTAGACCACTCTGCTGCTCTCGAAGACTCCACCTCAAGCCCTTTCTGCTCTAGTTGTTAATAGGTAAGTAAGGTTGCTCACTAAATTTTCACCCTTCAAAGGAATTCCACAAACACCTCCTGAGTACTCAGTCCCTGGCTCTAACCTAGGCTTTGGGGATACCACAACAAATGAGACAGATCCTCTCCTAAAAGAGCTAACAACAATCATAGGCCAGATGGCCGCTTGTAACACCACCCATAGTGGTATGGCCGTAACACTTCTGTAGCAAATGTGAAAGGGCATGACCTCGAGAGTCTAACACCCAGGAACGCAGATCCCAGCTCTGACTGTTCCTGGCTCTGTAACCTTGGACAAGCACTTGGCCTCTCTGAACCTCAGTTTCCTCTTTGAAAAATGAGGAGAATTGATTCCCTCACGTGATGGGTGAGGGATCCGAGATAGGTCATAAATTAGATAATTCGTGTGCCGCAGAGTACTGGGCATCAAGTAAGAGCTCTGTAGCGTTAGTTTCACTTTACTCATTGTGTGTGTGAACAGTGCACTATGGGAGTATGTAGCCAGGAGGTACTGTGTATGCCTGGCATGGCTGGGGCTGATCCACAGTGGAGGCCAGGTTGGAGCTGGGCCGTAAAGGCTGAGTGTCTAGGGAGAGAGGAGTGCATGAAGGGCATTCCCAGAAGAGAGCATAAGCAGAGTCCTCGTGACACAAATGTATTTTGTTTGGGAGATTTGGTGTGGCCAAAGCCTGGGTTTGTTGAGGGAAAGAGACTAAAAAGATGTTGAATTGACATTCACCTTCGTGCCATGCTAAAAGTATTTCTTTGGAAAGAAATGAGGAGTCACTAAAGGCGTTTAAGTTGGAGAGTGGCCTCATTTTAGAAGGATGGGAGTGATTAGCAAGAGGAGAAGTCGAGGACCTAGAGTCCAGAGAGGGAGTTCTTACAATCACTTGAGAGAGGAGTGACAGGGCCAGAACTAGGAAAGGGGCTGTGGGATTGGGAGTCTCCCGGAGCTGAGCCCTCCTCCCAGCTGGCTCATGGCGTCTGGGGCTCTCCCAGGTTAGCCTCCTGTGCCTATGCTCCTATATCAAGGGCAGGAACTGACTCTGCACTTGCCAGTGTATGCCCTGGGGCCACTCTGATAGAGCTGCTGCTTCTCCTCACCTTCCCACAGCTTTCCCCCTGCCCTTTTGGTGAGGGGTGATGGTGAACAGAGGACTAGGGCTATGGAAGGCTGGGGAAGGAGGGCCAAGCAGGAGCACTGTTGAGTCCATTCTTCAGGGAGCTCACATTTTCCCAGGGAAGACAGACACTTAGCAGCTCCTAAAAAGCAAAGGCAGGCAAGGATCAGGGATTCAGTGAAAGCCTCCCGTGGACAAGGAATGTGTAAATTAGGCTTCTGTAAAGGGAGCCACGAAGAGTTTGGCAGAGATGGGAGGGGCTTGGGAGTGGCCTGCAGGGAATCTTAGTAGCAATGGAATGGTTGTGTGGCATGGGAGCAAGCATGTCATCTGTCCTTCTGCTCAAACCAGCCTCTCTCATGACCTTTCTCCCCCCAGCCCTATGCTACCCATCCCTCAGAAGCTCCTTCACCCTGTGGGAGTTTTAACTTTTTACCCAGAATTTTGTGAGTCTATAAGGTATAAGTGTCTCATTGGGCAACTCCTCTGACCAGGCTAGACAAGTGTCATAATGACCAGGCTGGCCCAGGCAGCATCAAAAGGGCAGAGCGACCTATGCCCGGTAGGGTGGAATTTGCAGTAGCTGCTCCAAAGTGCCTGCCCCCAGCAGACCACCAGACACTTGTTCCCATTCTCTCTGGTTATCCCTCCCTTGTTACCCTGGACTCTCTTTTAAGGCTAATTCCAACATCTCCAAATCACTGTCCTGAGAAATCTAAACCAGTTATTCTTATTTTTCTGGGTCCTGGCCTCCTCTGAGATTGTGTTAAAAGCTACACACGTCTCCCTCGAATAGTGCATCATTGCCCACAACAGTGTATACCAACCACATTTTTGCATGCAATTTCAGGGAATTCGTGGACCCTAGGATAAACAACCCTACCTTGAGGGCTTTTGGACTCTTGAGATACTTTAAGCAATGTTCACTTCACTGAGGAAAGGGAAAGAACTCTCAGACCCATGGTCAGAAATCTCTGCCGTCCATGGCAGGATCCCATTTCCCACACGTTTGACTGTTTGATCAGATTAACCAGCTCTCATTACACACACACAAACAAGGGCTGTGTCTCTGCTGAAATTCTATGTCGCTGCTGCTCTTTGTCCTCCTATGCAGGCACCCAGCAGCAACCCTATGACCCTGAGGATATGGGCATTTGATACTGGCGGGGAGGAGACCCAGTGCTAGGTCAGGGGACTTTTTCTTTCCCACCTCTCAGTCAGAACCATGGTACAGACTTCACTCCTGAGGGGCTGTGTCAGCAGCCAGGGTTCACTCCTGGTCTGAATGTCACACTCCAGCAACATCTGAAAACTGGGCCACTAGGGCCATCCATCTACTATGCCGGCCCCAAACAGGGCATCCCATGTCAAAAGCCCTGCTCTGACACTGGGGGAGGCCAAGGAGGAGAGAACGTAGGCCTCCCAGCTGTGGGGATTGCTAGTTGGAGGCAAATTAAATTAGAAAAAAAAAAGAAAAGAATGCAGGGTGATGGTCTGGTGAGTAATTAGGGAGCTCTTTTAGGGAGGGCTACTCTGAATATTCCCCACAAAGGAAACAGCCAATGCAAAGGCCCAAGCTTGGTGTATTAATAGCGCAGAAAGAAGGCTGGCGTGAAAGGAAGTGAGCAGGGAAGTAGAAAGAGCACAGGGACATGTGAGTTTAGGGAAACGAGTGGGAGTGAGTCATGAGATCTTTGTACGCTATGGGCAGTGTGTGGGGTGTGTGCGTGCGTGTATGTGTGTGTAGTAAAATATACATAATATAAAATGTACCACCTTCGCCATTTTTTAGCACACAGTTCTGTGGCATTAAATACATGCACACTGTTGTGCAACCATCACCACCATCCATCTCCAGAACTTCTTTATCTTCCCAAATTGAAACTGCTATTAAACAAAACTCCCCATCCTCTCCTCCCTCCAGCCTCTGGCAACCACCATTCTTCTTTCTGTCTTTATAAATTTGATTAGGCACCTCATATAGTATTTGTTTTGTGTCTGGCTTATTTCATAGTGTAATGTCTTAGAGGTTCATCTACGTTTTAGCATGTGTCAGAATTTCCTTCTTTTTTAAGGTGAAATAATATTCCGTTGCATGTATATATCACATTTTGTTTATCCATTCATCTACTGATAGACACTTGGGTTGCTTCCACCTTTTGACTATTGTGAATAATGCTGCTATGGACGTGGGTGTACAAATGTCTGTTTGAGTCTGTGCTTTTGTTTATTTTGAGTATATACCCATTAAGTGAAATTTCTTGATCATATGGTAATTCTATGTTTAACTTTTTTTAAGGAACTACCGTACTGTTTGGATTTGTTTTTAAGTGCAATTTTATTTATTTTATTTATTATTATTATTTTTTTTGGTGGGTTTTTTTTGTTTTGTCTCTGGCAGCTGCCTGTTATGGGGATCTTCACCTTTAAACCAGTGTAGTGACATGATGAGATTTGTAGTTTTAATAGATAACTCTGCTGATCACTGTGGCTGCCATATCAACAATAGCCTGGGGAGAGTGATATAGAGGCCAGTAGATTAATTAAGACATTATTGCTGGGGTGACAGTGAAGACAGAGAGACAGAACTGGCAGTACTTGCTATAGACTGTGGAAGGTGAGAGAAGGGTAGAATCTAGCATGACTTCCAGGTTAGAGCTGCTGAAGGGATGCTGTTACTGTCTACTGACACGGGAACTGGTGGGGGGCGAGGATCCAGAGTTCCATTTTAGGCATTTATTAGGTTTTTAGTTCTCTTAGACATCCAAGATGGCAAAGCCAGGAAAAATGGCCTGGGAGCGATCTGCATATAGATGGTATTTCATATAAGTGCCACACACTAACCTATTGCACCAGTAGAGCTCCTAGATGGTATTTTAAACTGTGTAGATGTCTGTGTTAGGGGTCGCAGGGGTTTTGTGGGCTCAAGTCATGAGGAATGACCTTAGGTTGGGATGGTAGAGTGTTGACCCTAAATTAGAAGGCTATCTCTGGAGGACATAAGAGTATGGATGGGTTCATCTGTGTGTACATACTCAACTCTGGTATCCTCAGTCTGGGTTGTATATCCAGTGGGTCCAGGAGTAGGACAGGAAGAAGACTATCAGGAGGAGCATTTTTTAGAGAAGTTGTCTCACTCCCCTAGAACGTCCTGAGGCCAGTGGCTGGGAGCTTCTCAGGCTCAGAATCCCCAGGTCCGCCTAGCCACCTGAGACTAGAAGGAAGGCGTGGGAGAGGGCTCTGTCGTGCTCAAGGCCCCCTGAGGTTCACAGCTCAGCACTTCTCAGTCTCTTACCACAAAACCCACTTCCTGTGATGTTTTGTCCTTGGGTAATCTCCACTACCATGAACTTCCTGTAAGCAGAGTTAAGTGAGTTCTCAGGGGAAACGTCAGCCACACTGTGAAGGTGAAGCTCCTGGCTGGGGTTCCTCCCTTCTTCCTGTCAGAGCCAGAACTTGGGGTTGTAGTTGGGTTATGAGTCTAAGAGCTCCTTGATGGCGGGACCCAGACCAGGCCCCTCCCTGCCCAGGATAGTGTCTGGCATGTAGGCTGTGCATTAGCAGATGTTTGCTAAGTGATGCTGGGCTGAGGCTGCCACATGAGGTCCTGGTACCCAGACAAGAGGCCTCATTCCTGGAGTAAGGTACAGCCCCCTCCTCAGATGACTGCCCAGAGAATCCATTCATTAAAGTCAGTACCGTGTCAGGAACACCCGTCTACCTAGTAGAATTGAAGAAAAAGAAAAGAAGAGAGTTGAAGTTCCAAATTATGGTTTCCTTCTCCTAGGGCTCCACCCTCCTGGGCAGTGACCAGAGAAGAGCTTGAACAAGTCACTTTCCTCCCTCTTTCTCCTGGGGTCTCACACGTAGGGAAGCAAGGCCTCGGATGACTGAGGGAGGCTGCAGAGACCACCTTGAAACCCATACATGTTAAGTCCTTGCCAAGCGGCCTTGCTGCTCCTGGAGGCAGGAGGTGAGAAATCCTCAGACACAGACTGGTCAGGATCCTGCTGCTGCCCTTCGCACTTTCTGTGACCCTGGGCTCATCACTATGAGTCTTAGTTTTTCATCTATAAACATTGGGACAATATTCCCTATTTCACAGAGTTGTTAACCTTCGTAGAGAAGATTAAATAAGGAAGTTAACGTGAAAGCAACTAGTTCAGTGTACATAGTAGGTGCTCAAGTGTTCAGGTATAATGTACGTTCGTGTGTGCATGTGCATGTGTTTGAGAGAGAGAGAGAGAAAGTGCTTGTGAGAGAGATCAGAGCAGTCCCCTAAACTGATTGACTTCAGGACCCACAGTTTGTAAGACACTGCATTCAGAGCAAGGCCTACGCTTATTCACAGCCCAAAAGGGAAAGGACATTCCCACAATGTCATAGCAGTCCTCCGCCTCTAAAACTACAGGCATCTCCATTCTGGATAGTCAGAACAGAACAGTGACACAGATAAACCAAAATGGCAGTTAATAAAACATAAGTAAGATATGGATTATGTTTCAAGATGGATTACTTCAAAATAGAGCTAAAAGCTCCCCCTCAGAAGGAGCTGGAGGGCCGGCCCGGTGGCGCACTGGATAGTGCGCCGCTTGGGAAGCGCGGCGGCGCTCCCGCCCGAGGGTTCGGATCCCACATACAGACCGGTTCCCGCTCACTGGCTGAGCGAGGCGCGGGGAGCAGCACCGAGGGTTGCGATCCCGTTGCCGGTCCCCGGTCCGGTACGGGGGCAACACTGAGGGTTGCGATCCGTTGCCGGACACGGAAAAAGACAAAAAAGACAAAAAAAAAAAAAAAAAAAAGAAGGAGCTGGAGATCTCAACAGAGATACCCCTCCCTTCAAAAGCTTCCCCTGCCCTCCTCAAATTCAGGGTGGCTGGACC